TATAATAAAGGCTCTCTTTTGTTTATTTTGAAGTCCTATATGTGTTCTTTCGTTGGAGTAATAGTTTTAAATTTTAAGTTATATTTTTACCCTCTAAATCAGCAAACTATGCTGGCGCAATGCATTATTGGGCTGCTATAAAAATTTTTTCCTGGGCTGCTTTCAGTTCCCAGTCCGGCCCTGGACACATGTGGGGGCTACTGAGACACATGGAGGGCTGTTGGGTAATGAAACACATTGAGGGGCTGGGGAGTAAAAAGGCACACAGAGGTGTGTGGGGAGAAAGAGACAGACGAGTTGGGAAAGGGGAACAGGAGACACACACAGAGGAGCTGAGGAAGACGAACAAGAGCCACACAGAGGGAGTGGGGAAGCAGAGAATGAGACAGAAAGAGGAGCTGTGGGGAAATATACACACGAGGGGCTGGGGCTGAGAGGGATTTGGGAGAGAAAGACAAACAAATTTCACTTGTGTCTTCTGCTCTCCCTGTAACTCAAAGTTGGCTGGTGAAAGAAAGACGTGACAGTTTATTGTAGTGGTTCTGGTGTCTATAGCCTGTCCCTGCAGGCTGAGCACTGTAAATACTACCTTTTCAGAGAAAAGGCAGTGTTTACATTGCTGCCTAGGCACATCTCTAGTGACAGTCACTCAGACGGCCACTAGAGATGCTTCCTAGTCCAGTGCTGCACAGTTGTGCATGGACGCTCCCCATAGAGATTCATTAATGTAATGCATCTCTACGAGAAGATGCCGATTGGTGCTGTGAAGCGCAGCATTTTGCCAAACATGCGCAATAGCCCCCCCAATGCTTTCCTATGCAAATTTCATTGGCGTCGACTGAAATCATCCAGTTGTCAGCCAAAGTGAAAAGTACATTCTTATTACTTAAAAAAACAAGATAATTTTTTTTTTTTACTTCTGTGCAATAGCATACATTCACAATTTCAGTCCAAATGACCAAACATTTCTTAATATATCAAGGTAGGTGAACTGCAACATTGATTATATGTAAATGCACGTCTGCTTACAATAAATGTGCTCTGCTTTATTATGAAGCCCTATAAGTGTTTTCTTTCGTGTTTGAGTGATAGTTTTTAGTTTGAAGGATTTTTTTTCCCGCTTCCATATCTGCACACTATGCTGGCGCAATGCATTATGGGACTGGTATAGAATTCTTTTCCAGGGCTGCTTTTCATTCCCAGTCCGGCCCTGACACTATATAGCACAATGGCTTATGGGGCTGACATAGATTTATTTTCAAGTGCTACTTTGTATCCCCAGTCCAGACCTGTATGTAATTTCCACTCACCAGAGCTAAATTGTCACTTGCTAGGCTAGTGTCTCGTTGAAATGTTTAGCCCTGCTTTTATGTCATTGTGACCTTGCAGTTTTTTTTTCTTTTTAACAATGTAAAAAGTTTTCAAAGTTCAGCTTGCTTGTTTTTTTTTTCTGTTTGTTTTTTTTTTACTTTTTCCTTATGGTGTAGATTGTGTGAAAAAATAATGAAAACAATTATAGAGTAAGGCTGCAACATAAAGAAACGTAAACAAAATTAAGAGGTCCAAAAATGTAAAACGTCAGTGACTCATGTGTAAATAATTCTGAAGGTATTTGCGTGTGTTGGCTTATATTTAGAAAACAGAGCATTCCGGGGACATCCTGCTGACGTATAAAATACAAAAGCATTCTTGACAATTCAAGGGACCCAGGGTCAAACTACATTTTACTGAAATAAGAACACCCAAGGATTGTTGAAAAAAAGTCTCTCTGAAATATACCATGTGGCTTAGTAGGAAGGTTGGTATAGAAATAAAAATATGTAAAAATGTGCCTTTAAAGCACTTAAAGATATACTAAATTCACCCAGACCACGTCACCCCAATGAAGTTACAGGTTTTTAGAAACTACAATGTTTACACTGCATGGTTAAATCCACCTCTAGTGACCATCTTCCTGACTGCCACTAGAGGCACTTCCACCGCACTGACCAAGTAAAACTCAGTGGCATGACATGAAAGCATATAGGAAAGCATTGAATACAGTGTTTTCCTATGGAGAAAGTTATGTGCTCGCATGGCACACGCCACACATGCACATCAGGTGCCCAGTGCTGCTCTTTGAAGACTATTGAAATGGACCATCGCAGGAGGTGGCCAAGTGGTGAGCAGCACCAAAGGAATCTCAGCACTGGAGAAAGGTAAGTAAAATATTTATCTTTATTCATTTCTATTGGGAAAGTGGAGCTTAATACAAAAGGTTTGCATTTTGTTTCTCTGAAATTAGAGATGAATGTGTTGGTAAAAGAGGTAGGAGCAGAAATATGAAATATTTTTTTTTCTTCAGTATACGGGAAGGGAGAATCCACAGCAATAGATATTATAGCAAATAGCTGCCACAAATACCATACAGCAAACATGTCAAATGGTAACATAAGACAACATGTTACAACAATTAACGTTAACAAATTTAAACCTATTTAGTTTAGAAAAACGTGGCCTGAGAGGGGATATGATAACATTATACAAAAATATTCGGGGCCAATACAAACCATTGTGTGGAAATCTTTTCACAAACCGGACTTTACATAGGACACAAGGTCATGCGTTTAGACTGGAAAAAAGATTTTGTCTAAGGCAAAGGAAAGTTTTTTTTACTGTAAGAACAATAAGGATGTGGAATTCTCTGCCTGAATAAGTGGTTTTATCAGAGTCCATACAGATGTTCAAACAGCTACTAGATGCATACTTGCAAAAACAGAATATTCAAGGCTATAATCTTTCAATGTAGGGTAATAACTGCTTGATCCAAGGATAAATCTGACTGCCATTCTGGGGCCAAGAATTATTTTTTTTCCTAGCTTGTTGCACAATTGTGCTTCAAACTGGGTTTTTTTGCCTTCTTTTGGATCAACAGCAAAAAACAAATGTGAGGAAGGCTGAACTTGATGGACGCAAGTCTCTTTTCAGCTATGTAACTATGTTAATATAAGGAAAGCCCCAGGCCAAGGTGGTGTTCACTCATATAGATGGAATTGGGTCGATATTTGTATTAAATTTCAACTGGATTTAATGCTGAAATTCTAGCAGCTGTACAAGCTTGAGAAATATTGTCCAATAAATGTGCTTAAGAAGCATGTTTATCAGCTTTTTTTAATGACTAACTCTTTTAAACTTTAAAAAAAAAAGTAAAAGGCTATGGGGGTCACTATGATCCCTATTTGAATACAAGTGATATTTAAAACCTCCTTCATGCCCCCACTCGGCATGCTGTGAAAAGAGGCATATCCACTAAAAAGTGAGCACCTAGTGAGCAGCCACTTGCACTCAAGTCTTCAGATATGTGAGACTTGTCTGTCAGATTACTGACTGGCTGGCTTGGTTACAAGTCAAGATTAAAATTGAATTGTGTGGAAAAGTCCTTATAAGAGCTCTTCCCACTATGCAATCTTAGTCTCTATGGAGCCCTCAATGGGCAAAGCTGGATTAATTTTTGGGACATCACATTTTTGTTTTTTTTGCGATACAGTCTTTTTTTATTTTTCATTTTTAAAGTTGACCGGTAAAATATGAAGAAGAAGAAAGAAGACATCAAATGATAAGTATATTTTAACTTTTATTAGATGACTTGGGAAAGCCCTCACTATTAGGTTGGGGAGGGTAGGCATTTTTTACAATTACATGTAAATCATTATTTCATTTAAAGCTCTACTGTCTATTCCCTTTCTTTCTTTATTTAATTGTAACCCCTAATCTCTGGCAACAGATGAGTGCTTTTGTGAAAGATATAGCATTGAATCACTGAACCCAATATTTCCAACACTAATTATAATATTGATTTTAAATATTGTTTGAAAATCTAAATTATTGAAAACAATATTTATTGACTCTTGGTTTTCCTTTAACAGCTGGAATTGGGATTACACCCAGCGGCAGCTTTAACGTCAGTAGCCAGAAGCATAAAGATCTGGATTGGGAATCTAGAAGAAGACATAACCAGTGGCACAAGCAGAGAGAACTTACTGGAATCCCTGAAAGACATAAAACTGGCAACAGACTTCATTTCTGAATCTGGTTTAGATGTCACAAAATCTCTGTTGAAAAGCCTTGCCTTGTCTGTGGCGGCTAGAAGAGCACTGTGGCTCCATTCCTAGGGAGCGGACTACGCCTCCAAAGCCAGCCTTTGTGCATTACCTTTTCAAGGGGAAAGATTATTTGGTAAAGTCCTGAATGATGCCATTCAGAAAGCCGCAGATGGGAAGAAAGCGTTTCTACCACAGTCAAACAGAAGACCCTTCAGCGCACCCTACAGGGACAAGTTTAACACAGAGAGGTAATTTCGTGATAGTAGGTCATACAAGCCAGGAAGAGAATATGGTAGATCCCAGTGGAAATTTCAATCCTCTTCCTCCAAATGAGGATCTAGAGGTAGAGGTACCCGCCAGAACACAAAATCATTATGAAGGTCGGGATGTCCAGAATGGAACAGTGGGGGGCCGTCTAAAACACTTCTTTCCGGTATGGGCAACATCCTCAAAAACAAATGGGTCTTGAGCATAATCAAAGATGGCTACAAACTAGAATTCGAAGAATCCCTCTCCCCCCCCAAAAAAAATTATTCATGTTACAGCAGGCGTAAAACAGAAGGCAATGGAGAACACTGCCTTCAACAGTATCAAGCAAGTCCCTCGAATGGAGGAATGCAGAGGATTCTATTCAAATGTATTTTTGGCTCCCAAACCAAATGGAAAATGGAGACTTATTTTGGACCTGAAAAGAATAAATCTATATCTCAAGAACATATCTTTCAAGATGGAGTCTATCGCATCCATAAAACAGGCCATACATCAGGGCAACTGGCTAACATCGATGGATCTGAAAGATGCATACTACCAGATACCGATACATCCATCCCATCAGAAGTTCCTGAGGTTCTAGATGTCAGGAAAACTCTATCAGTTCCAGGGCATGTCATTTGGTCGTAGCTTGGCACCAAGAACATTCTCGAAGTTTCTCGTAACAGTCATTGCAATCCTGAGAAAAAGAGGAATCTAAGTATTCCACTACTTGGATGATATCCTGGTAGTAGCACAGGAATACCACACAGCAGTCCATCAGACAGAAGAGGTGATCTTAACGCTACAAGAATTTGGGTGGCTCACAAACAGAGACAAAAGCAATCTTATTCCATCCAGACACATAGTGTTCCTTGGAGCAAATATAAACACGGAAGCTTCAACTATCTCTCTATCCAAAGATCGCATTGCTCGGATCAAGAGCAAGATTTTAGGAATACTTCCAAGGACAAGACTTTGAGATTATATGAGTGTCCTGGGATCCCTCACGTCGACCATAAGTTTGGTCAGATGGGCACATTGGAAGGCGAGACAGGCTCAGATGAACTTCCTCACATGGATCAACAAGTCAGCAATGAACTGGGATCAATGCATCATAATTCACCAAGACCTGAAGCTTCAACTAAGGTGGTGGATAGAAGGATCCAACTTGACCAAAGGGTTTTTCCTGGAAGATCCCCAATGGGAAGTTATTATTACAGATGCAAGTACAAGAGGATGGGGAGCTCACTATAAGAACCTTGTTGCGCAAGGAGTATGGAACAACCAGACCCGTCTTCTTCACTCCAACATATTGGAGATGAGGGCAGTCTTCAAGTCACTGATGTCTTTTGCCATTTACCTGAAGGGGCTGTTGATAAGAACAGACAACAGGGTGGTTGCTTCCTACCTGAACCACCAAGGAGGTACAAAGAGCCATCAGTTGCTTTCGCAACTTCAACCAATTATGCATTGGGCCATAATTCACCTGAAACACCTAAAAGCGGTATACTTACCAGGAACTAAGATCCAGGAAATGGGGAAAGGTATGTTCCTGGATGGTGGATAAGGGAATCCCTTGTGATGCACCTAGCGTGACAGACATCCTGAACTTCCTTCAAGAGGGTCTGGATAAAGGGCTTAATCTGAGCAGTCTGAAAGTCCACGTTTCGTCAATTTCAGCTTTGACAAATTCCAGATGGGCTCTGGATCCTCTCGTAATGAGGATCGTTTGTATGTGCCTGTGTCTTTTCCTTTGACATTCTGGGTTATAGTCTATGAGTGGGTTAGTTATATAGTAAACATTGTGTGAATTTGTTTTAATTTACAGTGAATTATAGATATATACATATTCAATTCAATGTAGGCGTTTATGTTGGCAACTCACCATTACACTTGTCTATCACTTGTTTTCTGTTCTTTTCAGTGTGAACCATCCGTCTTCTGGCTATTCAGAGTGACTCAAGCATACTCTTCAATCTTTTGGGAAGGATCATGTTCTTTATCTCGGTTTTGACTTCAAGTGTTTCTGTTGACTACTGAACTGTTCTTCTCACACCAAAGAAAGAGGAAGGGGTGGGGTCATTCTGCCTGCTACATACTTGTGTCATTTATTCTGATTGGTTTAAACTTTATGATTGATCTTTGCTGCTGAAATTTACAGTAAAGAAAGATATGCAAAATATTCACCTCCTGTCATTACTAAAATTAAGATTCTAGGTACACTATGTTGGCATAATCTACAATTTTGAAACAAACTAGGAAAAATTTTCTTCTTGACCCCAAAATGACAGTTAAATATCTCCTTGGATCAAGCAGTTATTACCCCACTATTTAGAAATTATATCCCTGTTTGTTTTTGGAAGTATTTATCCAATTGCTATTTAAACATATGTATGGACTCTAATAAAACTACATCTTCAGGCAAATAATTCCATACCTTTATAGTTCTTACAGTAAAAAAATCATTTCCTTTGCCTTAGATTAAATCTCCTTTCTTCCAGCCTAAATGCATTAGCTTGTGTGCTATGTATATCCCTGTTTATGAATAGATTTCCAGATAATGGTTTGTAATGGCACCGAATATATTTGTATAATGCTATCATATCCCCTCCGAGGAGCCGTTTTTCCAAACTACAGAGATTTAAAAATTTTTAACCTTTCTTCGTAACTAAAGTGCTCCATTCCTTTTATCAATTTTAAAGCTTGTCTCTGCACTTTTTCTAGTGCCATGATATCCTTTTTTAGAACAGGTGCCAAAATTAGCACAGCATATTCAAGGTGTGGTCTTACCAGCGATTTATAAAGAGGCAAAATTATATTTTCATTCCTAGAATGTTTGCCTCTATTTATACATTACAAAACCTTACTGGCCTTAGTAACTGCAGATTGACATTGCATATTGCTGCCTAATTTGTTGTCTATAACAATTACCAAATCCTTCTCATGTTTGGTTTGTTGTATAATCCTTCTCTCACCACCAATACTTCCAATTGGTATCCTTTTGAGAGAAATCCACTCTGCATTGTGTTTTAATAGTGAATTTAATATCCCTGTGTCACTTCTTCCAAGAACTAACATACAGTTGCAAGAAAAAGTATGTGAACCCTTTGGAATAATATGGATTTCTGCACAAATTGGTCATAAAATGTGATCTGATCATCATCTAAGTCACAACAATAGACAATCACAGTCTGCTTAAACTAATAACACACAAAGAATGAAACGTTGCAATATTTTTATTGAACACCCCATGTAAACATTCACAGTGCAGGTGGAAAAAGTATGTGAACCCTTGGATTTAATAACTGGTTGAACCTCCTTTGGCAGCAATAACTTCAACCAAACGTTTCCTGTAGTTGCAGATCAGACGTGCACAACAGTCAGGAGTAATTCTTGACCATTCCTCTTTACAGAACTGTTTCAGTTCAGCAATATTCTTGATATGTCTGGTGTGAATTGCTTTCTTGAGGTCATGTCACAGCATCTCAATCGGGTTGAAGTCAGCATCTCAATCATGCTTTGGGTCAGTGTCCTGTTGCAACACCCATCTTCTGTTGAGCTTCAGCTGGTAGACAAATGGCCTTAAATTCTCCTGCAAAATGTCTTGATAAACTTGGGAATTCATTTTTCCTTCGATAATAGCAATCCATCCAGGCCCTGACGCAGTAAAGCAGCCCCAAACCATGATGCCCCCACCACCACACTTCACAGATGGGATGAGGTTTTGATGTTGGTGTGCTGTGCCTTTTTTTCACCACACATAGTGTTGTGTGTTTCTTCCAAACAACTCAACTTTGGTTTCATCTGTCCACAGAATATTTTGCCATTACTGCTGTGGAACATCCAGGTGCTCTTGTGCAGACTGTAAACGTGCAGCAATGTTTTGTTTGGACAGCAGTGGTTTCCTCTGTGGTATCCTCCCATGAAATCCATTCTTGTTTAGTTTTTTACGTATTGTAGATCCGCTAACAGGGATGTTAGCAATTGCCATTGACTTTTGTAAGTCTTTAGCTGACACTCTAGGATTCTTCTTCACCTCATTGAGCAGTCTGCGCTGTGCTCTTGCAGTCATCTTTACAGGACTGCCACTCCTAAGGAGAGTAGCAGCAGTGATGAACTTTCTCCATTTATGGACAATTTGTCTTACTGTGGACTGATGAACAGCAAGGCTTTTGGAGATACTTTTATAACCCTTTCCAGCTTTATGCAAGTCAACAATTCTTAATCGTAGGTCTTCTGAGAGCTATTTTGTGCGAAGCATCATTCATAGATAGATATGTCTTGCCATGGAACCTCCTCTTTTTCTGCATCTTCTATCTGTTGTTGTCTCAGGCATTCCCTTAGCAGTTCATCTTTGGGAGCTATCTTTGGGATGTCCTTGTGAATGATCTGTGTTTCTTCCAGGACTGTGGCCTTAACACTTATCAGGCCTTGACCTCCTTCCTTCCAGCTAGTGTAAAGTCTCTGGGTGTTTGACACCCATGGTGACCAGCTCTTCTCTTGGACAGGTTTTTATTCCAGCTGGGTACCTGTTGACTGGTAGGGCGTATTTGTTGATGGCTTATATCTTTTTTTTTGTTTGTTTTTTACATTTTTGTTTTTTTGCAGTGCTGAGTTATATGTACATTTTAATTACTTAATTTTTTCAGATATATATTCCTTGCACTTTTGGGCATTTGTTTTGTGGTCCTGAGGAAAGTCCCAAACGGGACTGAAATGTCAACCACACCAAATACCATACATTATAGTGAACTCCTTGTAAGTGGAATTACAAAGGATTCATTTGCTACAAAAAAGAGTGCAGCCATATCTTTGTACTATATATATAATATTTATTTTTTTATATTTATTTATATTATATATATCAAACATGGAAAAGTGCACTGTTGGGAATTTTAAAATCTAATTTTCTTTATTAACTTTATTAACTCCAAAAGAGGACAATTGTAGAGTATCAAAATTGAAGGCTCAACAGAAGACATTTATCAAGACTTGTAATTAACTGGTATAATACACAGACCTATATTTGTTATTTACCTAGCATCATAGAAAGCCTACACTTACACTGGGAATATATATATTAACTGCCTGAGCATAGTTACACACAGAATGCAGACAAAACTTTGAATATTATTTTATTTTAACTGACTTCTGAGTGAAATTGATTTCTGCATCACCTTGGCTATTTATACTACTTAATGTTTCAATGTGACTGTTGGCAGTTGTAGCTAAATGCCTATTAAAGGTCCCTAATAACCCAGCTCACTTCACTAACTCATATTGTCTAAAAATGGCAATATTCTGACAAACTACTTTCACATACAGGCCAGCCTTTTCTGGTGTGATTGCTAAATAACACTGAGTAATTCCTTTTGGACTTACCTTCCCATCAACAAGTTTTAAAAGATAATCCTCATCTTTTTTTTGTGAAAGTACAGAGCTAAATAAAAGATAATTCTTATCTATTTTTCCCCAAAATATATTTATTTCAGTTCAATGAGGAGCCACTTTTTAATCTGTGACAAATCATCACTCTGTAAAGTATCCTTCTAATCGTGCTGACAGAAACCAACATACCTCTCTGAAAAACTCCAAAGGAAGATCCAAAAAAATGCTAACACTAATCTGTTGTAAATAAAACCTCTTCAAAGTTTGAATAGCAAAATTCTTCCGTGACTCTAATTTTACCACATGTCAGAAGGCTTCCTATTTTGCATTAACTTTCTTTACTTCCACTCCAGCAGAAAATATCAATTTAAAAAGATTAACCAATCAGAACTAAAATAAAAACCACAGGATATATAAGGCTTGGTCCACCCACGCTCCTCCTCTTTCTTTGTTGCTTCAGCAGGACACAGGTCAGAGTATTTGTTCCTGCGGT